GTCTATTCTTTAAATTAATCTTCACAATTATAGCTGTGTTTCGTAGAATAGAACTTCTAAGGCGGACAGAGGTGCGCAGGCTTTTAAATGCAGAGTTACTAGCTAAAGCGTCCAAAATATTATGTAACTAACTCTGTCTTCTTAAATTTGCTCCTTTTCAAAAAAAGCCTTTTCCAGACGGGTATACGTTCGGAAATGCAGAGCTGCTGGACATTTTTATCAACAACAATCGGGCAGAGGCGGCTGTTAAACAGCATATATTGGAAAAAAATTGACGAATATTTTGTTAGAATGAATTTCTAAATTTTTATACCCAAGCGCACTTGTGCACAAGGGTATTAAAGCTTTGTTCACATAAGGGTTGTTTGTAACAGCTAAAACGAATCGGAATAGATATATACAAATATATGCGATAACTCCAGCAAAAATTTAGATATCTCAGCGAAATTTGGTATGTAGGTTGCTCCTTATCCAAGGTAGGTTGGTCTTGAAAATGGGTGATATCAGACTGTAGCCACGCCCACTTTTCATATAACGGTATTTTCGAAAAATGCACAAACTGCGATATTTCACTAAATAGTTGCAGGTTCAATTTCTTGAAAATTAGTAAATGAAGTAGAATTTTGGTACAAAATAATATTATTATGAAATTTTTAGAAATGGGCGTGACCCCGCCTACTTAGGATTAAATTCTGAATCTCAGTAGCCTCTTAACCAATTCTTACCAAATAGTACGAGCCTTGCTTAGGGCCCTACTAAGAAATATGTTGAAAATCTTTGAAACCGGGTAACCACGCCCACCTCCCTATAACGGTATTTTCGAAAAATGCACAAACTGCGATATTTCACTAAATAGTTGCAGGTTCAAATTCTTGAAAATTAGTATGTGAAGTAGTATTTTGGTACAAAATACTATTATTATGAAACTGTTGGAAAATGGGCGTGACTCCGCCTACTTAGGATTAAATTCTGAATCTCAGTAGCCTCTTAACCAATTCTTACCAAACGGTACTAAGGGCCCTACTAAGAAATATGTTGAATATCTTTGAAACCGGGTAACCACTCCCACCTCCCTATAACGGTAATTTACAGTAACTACTAAAGCTAATTCACTCAAAATCGAAGATTGCAATAACCACTGAGCAGAAAATTAGATTATTATAGATTTTTGGATAATGGGTGGAAAAGAAATTCGTTGAAAGTTATTCAAATCGGACTAAAGTTACACCCGCTTCGCTGTTAATACTTATAACAATCTCTTCAAAATTATTAAGACTAAAAGTCTAGGAATTAGGCGTGGCACCGCCTACTTTATGACTACAAAGGTGTATCTGGGTAACCGCTTTATAGGTTTCTACCAAACTTGGTTCAACTATTTCATTAAGTCTAACTCAGCATATTATCGAAAACGTTTGAAATCGGAAAGAAAGTTGAAGCGACGATATTTGATACCTGCACCGGGTATATACATATCAAATAAAACACCTCTTTGAGGTAAAATTTTCGAGTGACGAAAACTGAACTAGAAACACAAAATTTATGATATCAATTTCGTGACGAAAATTATACGCATTTTTTAACTGCC